AATTTTCAGCCTCCTAGCTTTTGTGGTTCCCGAGTTGAAAGTTGCGGACAAGTTGCTGCGGACACATGCACACACAAACACACACACAGACAACCCCGTGACAATATGCGTTTCGTACTGCTACAACACAGCACAAAACGCATAATTACAGAAACATCACTCGACTCAGCCAAGCTCGTTCGACCGAGCGAAATGCATCTCTTTTTAGGGGGGAATCACTTGTTTGTAGGTTTCGGAGACAACTGTGAAAATGTTAATTGTGCACAAATAGCCGGCTATTTGTCCCAGTAGGATTTTACAACGCAAGCGCACGACTGTCAGCTTTCTCCCAGTATCTAGTTCTTTGCTCAACATCATAAACCCATACATCCCTGCTGTTGCCTTCAGTCCCTACCTCCAGGCAAGATCTTAGCTCTTTCCCAGTTAATTCTCTTCCGCTATGACATTAAACAGCCCAAACTAGCACCCTCAAGCCTCCCCACCCTAACACCCAACTCGCGGGCACACCGCGACCACCGCAACCAGTCCCCGGAATCGGCCAAGCCGCATTTTACTAATTGCCCCTCATGCTACAAAACGGCCAGGCCGAGTTTTAGCAACCCCCTCTCCTTCTCTCCCGGTGCCTTCCTTACAAAGTCTCAGCTTTCTTCCAATTGATGATCCAGTCCTCTCCCCGGCCCCCCCGTTGCATCCTGAGGCTTACACCATCACTCTCGTCCTTACCCCGCAGACACTGCAACCCGTCGAGTCGAACTTAGAATTACTGAAATTGCGATTTGTGCCGTTTCTCCGTCGAACCCTTGAAACAGCGACCAATGTGGTGTGCTCAAATTTCTGGTGAGGAAGAGATGACAATCATAAAAATTCATGGGAACTGTATGCAGCATTCTAGTAATGGACTTTATTTTTTATGATAATAAAACGAACAACAACGATTATCACAATCATTATCATCAAACAATAACGGGCATTCTTTCCTCGCTTCTTCCTCAGTCCCTTCAGATATTCGACGGATAGAGCATCTGCAAGAAAACGCCTGTGAGAAGCAAATCACCCACTGTGCACAGCAGCAGCAACCGCAACATTCCAAAAGTATTCACAAATCCATCTGCACAGCAACTGCCAGTGATTCGTCTGCTCATATTTAAAGAAACCATTCAAAAAAAAAGCACATACTACACGGATGCGTTTGCCCATAGCACTCGGCGGGAGATTTCGTCGAAATTTCGCTTTCACCATGCCACCATTGCCGTGCACTCGTGTTATCCTTCCCCAAATGGCGCGTGCACGACTCGGCGTCTTCCCGGGAATCTTGCTTGAACTATGTGCCTTATACACATATACGGCTCTTTTGCCAACGTACCTTAAACGAAACGCACAATAGCAATCAGTGAAAATATCGCTTCTCGTCTCCTCCCAAAGCGTGCGCAGTCCCTTCGTTTTGGCTTTCTCTCGCTAATAAATAGGCAAAAAAAGTTTGCCAGGAGAACGCTGAGCTGAAAATCTTGAGAGGACAAAAGAACGAAAATCAAGACCAGCAACAGAGATGCAGCACTGGTCCAAGCAA